GCCTGCGAATGGACATGTCGTCTGTGGGCAATGATAAAATCTTGGTTGCGGATTGAGAGGGTCATGCAGACTCTGGCCAGTGCTATTCGTGGGTTGCGCTTTCAGAGGAATAGCCTTGAGGCTCGGATGAAAAGAGCTGCCCTGAGTATCACAACATATCTTATTTGGGAGGAAAGAAACAAGCGAGTCTTTGAAGGGCGGTCTAGGGAGATTTCTGCGGTGTTCAGGCGGTTTCAAATCCTTTTCTACACTGTCTTTCATTTCCACGAAAAGGATCATTTGCTTCTGAACATGGGTTGATTGTCCGGTCTTGCGTGTTGGCTTCTTCATAATTCTCGTGAGTCTCGTGTGTGCATGGTTCATGCAAATTAATTCTTCATGGCTAAACTCAGCTGCTGGGCCCCCCGGCTTTGTCTTCTTCTCCTTATCTCTTGACATTGAATGCATGGAGAAGCTTTGCTTGCATGGGTTTTGCGTGAGGTTGGATGTTGGTGGGGCCGGGGGCTTGCTAATTGGGTTCTTCGGTGCAGTCCTTCACTGTCTATGCATGCTCGGCATGATGTGGAAGGCTCCTCATTGGCTGGTTTCTTTCCCCTTCTTCAGTGGAGGATTATGGTTCCTTTCCACGTGGGGGGTTCCCCTTGGAAGCTTGGCTCTTCAATCTTTTTAGCTGCAGCCTCTATCGGTGTGCTTTTGTTGCTTTCGGCTTTTAGTGCTCCTTCATGGTGCGCTCTTTTCCCTTCGCGTGCAGGAGGTAATTGAGTGTTTATGGCAAAGGCTTTTGGTTGGTTTATTTCTGTCGGGTTGTCTCTTCTTGGGATTGTGGCGCTGTCCATCTTTGCTTTTTGGCAGTTTGCTTGTTGGTTGTGCAGGTGGCTTCGGCTCTCCCTTGTGCTGGCTTGGCTGGCTGCTTGGTTTGGCTGTCTCTTGGTTTATTCTTAGCTTTTGGCTTGTGTTTTCAGCTTGTATTTTGCTGGCTTTTTGTTTTTGTTTCTTTTAGGGATTTATTCTCTATTTGGGCTTTGTATATACTCTGTTCTCTGCTGGCTTCCAGCTTGTATTGCAAGCTTGTCTTGCTCGTTTTTGATTTAATATACTTCTTACATTTGATCAAAAAAAAAAGAAAGAGCTCTCAGTAAGAAAGAGCTCTCAGTCAAAAACGCTAGAGAGAGAAGCTTGAGAGAGAAGCTCTCCTTCCCCCACGGGAACCCTTCCCTTTTGTTCATGGCGTTTACTGTAGCTCAAATTTGAATCCCGTTTACTGTAGCTGTCCCCTTCATGCTTTTCTCCTGTCCCCTCCATGGCCAAAAGCAAACGCACTACACGAAGCACAACAAGGAGGAACCAGCAACAATTAATCAATGATGCTGATTCTATTCTTGCTCTTGCAGCCCCATCTATTCCTCCTCCTCCTCCCCCCCCACCCCCATCCCCTCCGATTCTATACCATTCACATAAAGAGGTCAATGGTGGGTCTAGCCCCGACAAGCTCCTTAGTCTTGCTGAGGATGGGTCCTCTTCCCAACCGGTTGACTCTCCTCAATCTGCTCCTGACCATGTGCTTGTAGAAGACTGTTCAGACGAAGAAGACTATGAAGATGAGATAGTTGATTATTCAACATCCGGTTGTCCCACGGGGTCCCCTGATTACCCCACGGTGACTCCTTCTTCAGGACACAACTTGGATGCAGCCTTGGATCTAGCCTTTAACAGTGCTTCGAGAGTTCTGCCATTGCATGAACCTGGTCATTCAGCGTCCCCAATAACTATCTCAACAAGGAGGAGTTCCCCCCCGGTGACTGCTCTCCAGCAAACCCTCCCAGGGTGCGTTGAGGTAGCCCATTCCTATCCCATTAAAGTTCCTAATGTCATCTCCTCGCCCACAGCATGTCCCCATCCAGGACATTCAGCAATTCCAGAAGTTATCTCAACAAAGAGGAGTTCTCTCCCGGTGGCAGCTCTCCCGCAAACCTCCCCAAGTTTAGTTGAGGTAAACCATTCCTCTCCCACTGAAGTTCCTAATGTTATCTCCCCGTCCACAGCATGCCCACATTCAGGCGTCCCACAACCCCCAGCTCCTGTGGAGAAATGGCGTGATTTGTTTGCAACAAACCGTAGCTCAGCAACAGGTCCCAAATTCCCTCACATTTCAGCTTCTTGTAATGAATTGCCTTGTGACTTGCTTACTGCCGATCTTGATATTAATTACAATGTTTGGGAATCATGCCTTGTTGGATATGTGGCTGGTAAATCACCGGGTTTTAATGCAATGAATAATATAATCTCAAACTCTTGGAAGTGTAATGCAACTTTGTCCATCCATGAATCCGGATGGCTAGTGTATAGATTCAAAAATATTGAGGACAAGCTTGCAGTGCTAGCCAATGGACCTTATTTAATATATGGCCGCCCATTAATCCTCAAAGCCATGCCGGAATATTTTAATTTTGGGAGGGACGAAATGTCTTGCGTTCCTGTATGGGTAAAGCTTCCAAATCTGCCGTTGAAGTGTTGGTCTCCACGTTGCCTTGCCAAGATTGCTAGCAAGCTAGGCACTCCCATACAAAGTGATCAGCTCACTTTTAACATGACGAGAATTTCATATGCGAGGGTGTTGGTAGAACTGAATTTGCTTGCAGAATTGAAATCCTCTATCGTCATCAACTTGCCGAATGGTTCCACGTTGAACCAACCGGTGATTTACGAGACTCTTCCCCGATTCTGCACATCGTGCAAAGTATTGGGACACAAAACAGGAGCATGTATCCCCCCTCCTAAACCGGTTGCGGCAAGATCGGTGGCCAAACATCCAGCTACCACTACACACAAAGACCGAAGTGTATTCGATCGCCTTGGGCCGGTTGATGGGCAGATTGGATTGGCAGCCAGCCAGGGAAATCCTAATGGGCAGATTAGTGCATCCCCACATAGCCAGGATCCCATGGCTACCGAAGTTGAAGTTGCTTCTGATGGATGGGACAAATTTAAAAGCAGGAAAGCAAGTAACCCCCCCAGCATTCAACAACCAAATAATGCTATGGGAAACAAAGGGAACAGTCAGTACGTTCAGCAGACCTTAGACCCCTTGCAAGCAGAGGTAGAAGCTGTCGTTGGTGGATGGGAAGTGGTAAAGAGGAAGAAGTCAACCGTCAGACTCAAGGAAACATTAGGACCTGCAGCTCCACATCAGGTAACATGCAGGGATAATGCAGTGGAATGCAGCAATAAGGGCAAGGAAGTGGCATGCCCAATGGATGTTAGCGTGCGGGGTGATGACTCTATTACTCACCTGAATAACGGTAATGAAGGCAGGACAGCCCCAGCAGCCTTAACTTCAGGAGCCACTATCATACATGTGACAGCCCTCGCTGGAGCATCTACAAGCAGGGTAGACCGTAATGCTGTTTCTGTTGGCTTAGTTAACAACCGTGGCAAGAGAAGGAGCTCATCTCGTGGTAGTGGTGGAAGGGTTCTCCCTTCCTCTACACACTTATGATTATCTATAGCTGGAATATCAGGGGACTCAATAATCCCCTGAAGCAGCATGAGGTAGTTAGCCTCATGAAAAAGCGTAAGATGGATGTGTGTGGGTTGCTTGAAACCAAATTATCTCCCCACAGGGTTGCATGTATGCATAGGCTTCGGCTCAGGTACTGGCAGTACTATACCAATGTGGATGCAGCCAATACTGCTAGAATTTTGGTGTTTTGGAATCCAGCTACTGTCAAAGTTGATCTGATTGCTTCTTCGGCTCAGGGCCTCCACATTTCGGTTCACAGCTTGATCTCTCAGTATCACTTCTTGATCTCGTTTGTATATGGGTTTAATACAATCTCGGCTAGGCGTGCTCTAT